AGGTGAGGCAAAATTCACGCGTGGCCAAAACTGGCCTTGAGAATCCCTTTGTGTTAGTCAGTATGGGCCAGACTGTGCTGCGGTAACAAATCAGCCGTCAAGTCTCGGGAAATAAATGCAAGGGTTTATTTCTCGTGCACACAGTTCCTCTGCAGGGCCACCGCCTTCTGTGTAGCGGCTGAGAGCGCCAGACTCTTCCAGTCCTATGACATCGCCTCCCAGGGGCTGGCTTCCAGGTCGCCACAGCATGGGAAGGTAGAGTGTGGACGACTGACACCCACTCTTAAGTGACTCAAACCAGAAGTGAAGTCAGCCACTTCCACTCACAGCTCATTGGCCAGGATGAGTCACATGGCCCCTAGCAGACCGCAAAGGAAGCAGGAAAGGAAAGTCTGTCTCCCTTTGTGAGTTTGTGTGGTTTCCGAGTTCGGGATTGTGGGGCGGTGAGACCAGGGTATTGGGTTTCTGAGTTTGAACTGGGTGAGTCTGGTTAGTGAGGAGTGCCTGCAGTGGGGGAGAACGCCATTTCTGCTGCACCCCAAAACCAGGCACCTAGTCCATTCGCAGGTGGAGCATCCTAGCCCCGCCAGTCTTGCCCCCGTCCCCCAATTTGAAGTCGTTCTCTTGCGTTAGGGACTGCGAAGCGTGAAGGTGCTTGGGGGTGGGGGGCGGAGCAGGAGCAGCTGGCAGGGTTAGCGCCATCGGAGTAAGCAGTGTTTGGATGGCCAGGTGGGGAGCCCGTTTCGGATGCGAGGTGTGTCTCTGTCTCAGAGCCTGGCCCTGAGCATTAAGGTCCCAGGTCAGATCCTGAACAGCGTGCAACCTGGTGTGCGCTGTGGAGGTGCACTGTGGGTACCCAGGAGAAGTCCTGGGCAAGAGGAGGCGGGGTACAGCGCTGACCCCGAAGAGGGGGTGCAGCCAGAGGCACCAAGGCTAGGGAGATTGGGGGTGCCTGCGTACCTGCCCATGCAGGTGAGTGCTTCAGTGCCAGGGGAGGAGAAAGGGGGACGTAAGCTTTGTTCGTGCACCTGCTATGTGCCAGGCCCCGGGATCCCCCAGGCCAGAGTGGGGAATCTGGTCTGACGCTTCGCAGCGTTAACCTGCCTTTCTGTCTTCATTCTCACACCCACACCCTGTATCCGGCCCCACCGCAAGGTCGACTGACTTCCAGAATCCAACCAAAACACCCAGGAACCCACCGCTTCCGACCCCTCCCACTGCTGCCATGCTGCTTCCGGCACGTTGTCTGTCCCTTGTGTGCCTACGACAGCCGACTCAGAGGCCTCCTGCCTCTGCCCCGCAGTCCATTCTCCACCCAGCAGCCACAGCGATCCCGTAAAAACATGTCACAATCCTCCTAGGGTCCCCATCTCGGGGAGAACAGCCACAAGGCCCTGCACAACCTGGCTTCCTGTGACCTCTGCCCTCAGCTGCCCCTTCTGGCCACCACTCCTCAGGCCAGTTCGGCCATACTCACCGCTCTGCTCTTCCTCCAATGTGTGGGGCACAGCTGCACCTCAGGGTTTTCCCTGTTTCCCCAGATGTCGATGTTCTGTTCTGCGTCTGTTTCACGGTGGCAGCTGCATGGGAGCCTTGGGGTTTTCCGTTTCCCCAGATGTCGACGTTCTGCGTCTGTTTCACGGTGGCAGCTGCATGGGAGTGGGGCGTAGTCTGTCTATTCCCTGCCGTCTCCCCACCGCGGGAGCACGGGCACACGGCACGCGGCACGCACTCGGCATCTGCATACTCTGATCAGGACTGAGCCCTCTGCTTCGGGGCCTGGGACGTGTGTGACATCACCAGGGCTCTAGAACTTGACTGGAAGAAGCCGCAGGTTCCTCACTGGTACAACTGGGATCATTGTATTTACCCAGCCAGGTAGTTGTGAGGATGAAAACGTCAGGGAGAAGCACCCAGCGCCATGCCTGGCCCTTAGGATACCTTTAGGCACGGCGAGGCTATTCACGCATTCATTTTTTCATCTGTCTGTCCACCCGTCCATCCACCCATCTACCTATTCATCCATCCACCTGTTCACCCTCCCATCCATCCATCCATCTATCCAGTCATGCAATTGGCATTTACCGAACGAACGAACCCTCCAGTATGCTCTGCATCGTGCCAGGTGCTGGGGAAAATGCAGTGAACACACACAAATCCCTCAGCTCAAGGAAGGAAAGCTCTTTCCTTTTCTTCGGGTGGGATTCTGGAGGAGTCAGCTCTCACCGGGGAGCTGGTGTTCTAGAGCTAAGGAAGAATGTGAGGCGCAGGGTCGCACAGTGGTTAGGACATGTGCTCTGGGGCTCACCTGCCTGGTTCAGTCCCTCCTTGCTTATCACCCTGTTATCTGTAAGGGGGGCGTAATGATAGCACCTCGCTCATCGAAGCATCCTGGTCAGGTGCAGAATGCTACTGCCTTCCTCTTCCAGTGTGAGGACCGCCTGAGAGGCTAGGGCAGGCATGTAGAGCTTTGTGTGTCTGCAGGGACAGTGGAACGGGAGAGGGTAAGGACCCACTGAGAGAGGCACTGGCCAGGGACGTCTGTATGTGACTTTCCCAGATCTGTGTTCCGCCGGCCAGCCAGGCCCTGCTGACAGGGGCCCACGGCAGGGGGGATTAGTGGCCTGGTGGCCTCGTAGGCTGGTCTCCAAGGAGCAGCGGTGTGGGCCAACGGCAACCTCGTTAGTGGGCTTGCGTGGGCCTGGCCCCTGGGGCCCACGCTCTGCTCCCTGGCGAACCATCTCCCTCCGTGAAAGAGGCCTTTGTGGCTCTGAATGACCGTGAGCGAGATTTCCGGACACACAGCTGCCACCGCCTTCGCCTCTGGTCTCTCTGCTGGGAAGCCTGGTGGCTCGGTGCCAGGCAGAGAGCTGAGAGGTGCTGCAGAGTGGGACAGACACCCCCCTCAGGGGACGACTCGGGCTCTGGTGTTAGATTCCCCCACAGGGGCAGGATCCCACCCTACTGCTTCCTGGCTGGGCGCCCTAGGCAGGTCACGTCAGCTCTGAGCCTCAGGGTTCTTGTCTGTGGCATGGAGCTAGTGATCGTCAGGAGTGGAGGGGCCAGCACTTTGAGGGGTGCCGGTGCCCCACCCCACACGGAAGGCATCACAGTGAGCTCGGGCCACGTTTTGGCAAAGGAGGGTGGAAGCTGGAATCAGGTCTGGATGTAGATCACTTGGGCTGGAAAACTTGTATCAGCAGGACCCTCAGAAAATCCCCACTAGTCTGCGGCCATGCCACCCTGAACATGCCTGATCTCGTCTGATCTCGGAAGCTAAGCAGGGTCGGGCCTGGTTAATACTTGGATGGGAGACCACCTAGGAAGACTTGGTGCTGTAGGCGTTAAAAAAGACGACGAAAAAGAAAGTCCCCACCACCCACCTGGGTCAGGGGAGGCCCTGTGTCCCGGCATGCAGGCTGATGTCCGCAGACCCCTCCTGGCACAGCACCAGAAACGCTGCCCAAGGACCAGTGGATTATTGATGGCAGGGGTTCAGGTCAGCCCAGTGACTCAACTGGGTGACTTAGAGTCCGCTGAGGACATTTGGCGATTCTGAGGATGTTTTTGTCACGACTGGAGGTGAGAGCACTGCTGGCATCTAGTGGGCAGTGGGACCTCCGACTCAGCTACTTCAGACTCTCGTCCCCTTTCCTGGCGCCCCAAGCTGGTTTTGTGAGCCCCGTGTCAGGACCAGCCGCGTGTGTGCCGTGCACTGCCCTCCCCGAGGCACGCGCTGGGCCTGTACCGCCTCTGACCTCTGACCTCCAACAGCGTCTCCCACGTGGCCACCTCGGGAGTAGAAGTGGGAACACACACACCCTGGGCGTTCCAGCTGTTGCTGGGGCTCCCCCGAGAAGCCGGAATGTGGTCTCGAACAGGCAAAATTAGGAAAAGTGCCAAATTGGGAGCCAGTTCTCCTGGCAGGGCCAAGGGGCCCTGGCTCTGCTCATCCTGCCTTCGGAGCTGAGCAAGCGAGCGGGCGAGCGTGCCCGGTGCGTGCTTGTCCCATTCTTGGTGCGGGGTGCGGCTCGTGTCCGGTTCAGACAGGACGCTCCAACAGGAGGCGTGGGGTTTGGTCCTGGTGCACGCTGGAATCGTGGGGAGCTTTAAAAAGAGGCAGTATACCCTAATGGATAACACGTCAGGGGCGCAGGGGCGGGAGGGAGGGGGTGGGGTGACAGAATGGTCCTCGTGGTGACGGAAGTGTTCAGCATCCCTGCTGGGGCGGTGGATGCGGGAACCTGTACCGGTGACACAGTTGCGTAGAAGTCACACACACTCACACACACACAATAAGAACAAACTGGAACGCTGCATTGTACACATGCCGATGCCTTGGTTGTGATGTCGTACTGTCGTTTTTCAAGGTATAACTTTGGGGGAAACAGGGAGGAGAGTACACAGGAACTCGGGGTGATTCCAGCTGCTTGTCTAGCTAGAATCATCTCAGAAGGGTTGATTTGTAAAAGGACACACACCGTTGCCCCAGCTCCAGGGCTTCTGACTTCATTGGTCCGCGGTGGAGCCTGGGTGCGGGCAGGGCCTGAGGGCCCCAGGCGAGTGCCAACGGAAAGCCAGAGCTGAGAGCTGCTGTCCACTTTGGGTCCGGGGTAGACAGGGCTGGACAGGCTCTGGTCAGGCCAACACGAGGGTTGCTCTGTCTTCCCAGGTCTGTGACGATCGGCTGGCTACTTTCTCTGCCAGCGAGCAGAGAGGTCTGGACTCAACACTGTGGGCCACTGCTGACCCCTGGGTCACTCGTGTCTCTGGAGCATGGCACCTCTCTCCAGGCTGGCACAGCGGGACCCGGGTTGAGGGGCCTGGCTCAGACCAGGCCTGACTCCTGTGCCAGCCTGTAAAACAGGCCCTTCTGGGCCAGCAACTGAGCTGGGCTGCCGCTCTCTGCCACCTGCCCCTTATCCATGACCAGCACCCTGCAGGGGAGAGGGAGACAGGCAGCTCTTGGGACACCAGCCCAGGCGCTTGGCTGCTCTGAGGTTTGCTCCCCAGAACACAGCCAGGTCGGAAGCCTCTGCCGGGCATGTGTCCTCGGGCTCGTCCCTTCCCCTCCGGGCATCAGCCACCTGTACCAATGGGCACTCGATAATCCTTACCACTGCCGTTGCAGCTCTAAACCTGGATGCCTTCCTCCACCACGGTGGGGTCCCTGGGGACCGGCTGGGGGCGGCGGGCTTACCTGGCACAGTCCATCACGGAGCGCAGGCGGTGGGCAATGAGCAGCGCTGTGCACTGGGCAAACCAGCTCCCGAGGGCCGCCTGCATCTGGACCTCCGTCCCCGGGTCCACGGCGGCCGTAGCCTCATCCAGGATGAGGATCCGGGTGTTCCGGAGAAGGGCACGTGCCAGACACAGGAGCTGCTTCGGCAGTGGGCTTACCTGGCACAGTCCATCACGGAGCGCAGGCGGTGGGCAATGAGCAGCGCTGTGCACTGGGCAAACCAGCTCCCGAGGGCCGCCTGCATCTGGACCTCCGTCCCCGGGTCCACGGCGGCCGTAGCCTCATCCAGGATGAGGATCCGGGTGTTCCGGAGAAGGGCACGTGCCAGACACAGGAGCTGCTTCTGGCCCAGGCTGGGAATGAGTGGGACCATCAGGCCGGATGTTTGTGTCTCCACATCAAGATTTGCAGGGTGTGCCCACAAGCGGGTCCCCCACGCCAGCCACAGGAGTGGGGGGTGCGCGTGTGCCCATCCCCACACGGGGATCCCCAGTCCACAGTGCTGGTAGGAATCCGCATCCTGCCATTTTCGAGCCGGGCGACTTTAGGCAAAGTCATTCAAAACCACTGTGCCTCAGTTTCCCCATCTGTGAAATGGCTATTTCTATTTCTATTCTGTGATTTGCACCATGTGCCAGACACATCCTTATGTGCTGGGTATATACTTATTCAATCCTCATGAGAACCACAGAGTTAGGTATTAACGAGTCTTCCTTACTTGTCTTGAGGAGGAGATCAATCGTATACTCAGTGCTCAGTGCCGCGCTTATCACAGAGCAGGCTCTCAGCATACAGTAGCTTTTCTTATTCTAATTACAGGTGGGGCAGGTGAGGCTTAAGGTCATGTGGCCAGTGAGCATCCAGAGCTTGGAGACCCAATGGTGTCTGGGGCTGTTTCCTGCTGTGCCCAGCTTCTTCTCACAGTAAACCTTTTCTAGAGAACCAGAACCTCTTTGTAGGGCCATGCTGGTGTCAGGTGGGCCTTGCTTGCTCCAGCCTCACCACCTTGACCCTGGGTAAACCTCGAACGTCAGATGCCAACTCTTCAAACACGGGGTTAGCAAGAGTATAGCTTCGAGGATTCAAATGAATATTATTTCTTGTGTGCCAGGCACTGTTTCAACAGCTTTACACGTGTAACTCTCTTAAGCCTCGCTCAGATAGGTAGGTTCTATTCTTCTCATTACATAGATGATAAAACTAAGGCCCAGGAGATTAAGTAACTTGCCCAAGGTCTACAACCGGTAAGTGAGGGGGGCCCAGATTTGAAGCCTGCCTATGTTCTTAGCCACCAAGCCATACTGCCTCGCGTGCTTGGAAACCACCGCCACTCACAGCCCCTTCCCCTAACACCTCTGGGGGCAGATAGGTTTTAGAATCCAGAACGTCTCATTTTTCTCAAAAAGGCACATGCCTGGACACCTATGTTCATAGCAGCACTATTCACAACAGCCAAAAGGTGGCAGCAACCCAAGCATCCATCAATGGGTGACTGGAGCTGCAAACTGTGGTTTACCCACACACAGGAATACGATTCAGCCTTCCAAAGGAAGGACATTTTGACACGTACTATGCCACAGCGTGGGTGAACCTTGAGGACATTATGCTGAGTGAAATACACCAGTCAACAGAAAGACCAATGCTGTAACAGTCCATTTAAGCGAGGTACCTAGAGTCGTAAAATCCATAGGGACAGAAGAAAATATGATGGTTGCCAGGGGAAGATAGAGAACTGTCCTGATGGGTCCCCAGCTTCAGTTTGGGAAGATGAGAAAGCTCTGGGGATGTGAAGTACCGCCGAAGCGTGTACTTAGACATGGGTCAGATGGTAAATTTCATGTTATGTGTATTTTACAACAATTTTAAAAAGCTTTTTCAAAGTCATACTTCGACATCCCCAGTGAGCTGGGGGTTAGTGCCCAATATCAGACTCAGTATCTCCATAGCAAAATAAATGCCAAGTGGGCCTCAGGTAAGTAGAGATTGGGTTTCACCACCAAATAAAGTTAGGGACCGAATTGAAGAAACGATATCCTGAGACTGTGTTGGAGTTTGTAATTGCTGATAAGTGAGGGGGCTTGTCCTGTGACCTTTACTGGAATGGGGTGGTCGATCATTTATGGGGGAGGCCGACTTCCGGGGCAGATTGCCCTCAGTGGGTGGTGGCCTTGGCCACATTCAGCCCTCCCCTCAGCTCCCCACAGGTCCTGGCTGTGATGGGGTGAACCTACCTCAGGTCATCGCCTTGGTCAGTGCACTCGTACTGCAGCTGGCCGGGCAGGCTGGCCACCAAGGCTCTGAGCTGCACCGTCTCCAAGGCCGCCCAGATGGCCTCGTCCGTGTGCTCGTGTAGCATGTCCAGGTTCATCCTCAGAGAGCCGGGGAACAGGATGGGGTCCTGGCCAGGAGGGGCAGTGAGTCAGAGCTCGGCCTGGCCATGCTCCCACCTTTGCCCACCCCGTCCTCGGCCTCACCTGGGGGATGATGGTGATCCTAGACCGAAGCGTGTGCAGCCCCACGTGGGTGATGGGGACCCCGTCGATCCAGACTCCGCCCTCGGCTGCCTCCAGGAGCCGCAGCAGGCCCCCGGCCAGGGAGGACTTTCCGGCCCCCGTCCTGCCGACGATGCCCACCTGCCAGGGGGCAGGGGAACAAGGCCCGTTCTGACCAGTCCTGGCCAGAAGAAGGCAGGCCACAGCCCAGAGGGGTCCTGGGCATCTCTTTGTGAGATGTTTCCCCTGCACCTAAGATCCATCTGTCCAACTATCCATCGTTCTTGGTGCATCCATCCTTCCATCTGTCCACCTTTCCATATATCCATCCACCAATCTATGCAAACATTCTATGTATTCTCCATCTTCCCTTCATCCCAACACACCTCCCGCATCTTCCCATCTATTACGCACTTCCTTCTATACCCCCATCGTTCCTCTGTTCCTCCATCCTTCCCCATCCTCCCATCCACACCCCTCCATCATCCCTTATCCTTTCTTCCAGACCCATGTCATTCTACTCATGTCCCACCCTCCTTCCGCCCCCATCCTCCCATCTGCCCCTCATCCCTCTCATCCTTCCTTCTACCAATTCCTCTCCCTTCCTTCCACCCACCACCCTTCCATCCATACTCCTATCCTTCTACCCATCTCTCATCCTTTCTCCCACTACATTCTATCCATCCATCCATCTGTCCCTCAGCCTTCCTTCCATCCATCCCCCGTCCCAGCCAGTCAGTCCTCCACCCTTCCGTCCATTTGTTCATCCTTTTATCTGTCCCTCTTTCTTTCTCTCTCTCGCTTACAGTTACATGCTCAGTATCTGACACACGGTAGGGGTTCAACACTATTTGTTTAATAAATGAATCAAATGTGTGCCACCCCCCTGTATGACAAGCACCCTTTTAGGCACCAGGAATACTTAAAGCAAAGAGTCCTTGCTCCAAAGGGCTCACCCGCCTTGTGTTGGTCATAGTGCAACTGAGTAAACCTAACGTTAAGGCGGTGTGACGGACAGGCAGTCCCTATCATCATGCGCTAGACCTGTAGCGATGGAGGTGAGCAAGGAGGTGCTGTGCATGCTGCCCGGGGTAGGGGTTGATGGGGTAACCAGGGAAGGCTTCACGGAGGAGGCGGTACTTGAGTGAGATCTCAAAGGATAAGCAGGACTCAGGGAGCGGGAAGACTTCAGGTAAGCTACCTCAGTCGACACCCGGAGCCACCTAACCCAGAGGCAGTTGCTGCACAGATGCTGGCTAAGCCCTGGCCAAGGACCGAGTGAAATGGTGAGCTGGGCCAGATTATGAATGCCACGCTCAGGACTGTGGGCTTCGCCCTGAGGGAGGCTGAGAGCTGGTGGAGGGTCTGGAGCAGGGGAATGACCCGCTCAATTCAAGATGACAGGAGAAACTGGAGCATGGGGGCTCGGATGGGGCCCTGGAGCCATCAGGATGAAGGAGGAAGTGTCTCCACAGTGTCGCGGGGTGGGAAGGGACTTCATGAAGGGGCTTGACTGGGCATCTGTAAACTGGGAGAGTGCTAGCCCTTTCCTCATGGGGTTGTTGTCAGGGTACAAATGCAAACACTAATGGAGGAAAGCACGGGTAAACATTTCTGTAGCTCTTGCTCTGTGCCAGGCACCGTTCCAGGCAGTTCATATGTGTTAACTCGGTTAAACTTCACGACCTTAGGAAGGTGACGTTGTCATTCCCATTTCACAGATGGGAAAACTGAGACTAAGACATGACGTGTCTTGCTCAAGGTCATGGCAAAGCCAGGAACTGGGCCTGTGCAGACTGGATAATGTATGCGGAGTGTTCAGCACTCTGCCCAAACACATAGTAGGTGTTCAACTAATGTTTGAGAAAGAAGGAAGTCAGGCGATGCCTCATCTGAGACACTGAGGTGGGTGGGTCGGTCTCACCGGGTGGAAGCAGGTTTGGGGAAGATAAATTCAATTTAGGGTGTGGTGGAGATTCGGAGGAGGCAGCTGGTGCTCAGGGCCTGCACCCTGGGGTGATGCCCAGCCTGGTCCTGAGGCCTCACCAGCCACCCTGTGGCTTGGCCTCCATGAGGAGGAAGTTATGGGAGAGGGACCCACCTTCTCTCCCGCGTGGATCTTGAAGGACACACCCCGCACAGCCAGCGGGAGCTCAGGTCGGTGTCTCAGCCCAAAGTTTCGGAACTCGATCTGGCCCCCACGAGGCCAGGGGGACCGGGCTGCACAGGCGGGCAGTGTCCAGGGCGCCTGGGGCAGGAAGGGACACTGCGTCAGAGGAGTCTTCCTCCCAGGCTTCTCACAAAAAGATCCACCTCTCTAAGCCTCAGTTTCCTCTTCTGTAAAATGGGCATATTTACTGCTGCTTTACAGGGTTGCTGTGGGGCATGGAACATAGCAAAGCTAAAAACGATATCTGTATGGTAAAAATGATGATGGTGCTGGCTACTCTTTATCTTTTTAAAGTACTATTATTGGCCAGTGCTAGTTGTTAGCCCAGTGGGGTGGGCCCTCTCCTCTGTCTTTGTGAAGAGGGCGGGTCTGTGCAGTAGGGATCCCAATGCTGCCATTGGTATTCCTGTGACCTTGAACGGTCACTTAGCCCCCTTGAGCCGTGGTGACCCCATCTGTGAAATGGGGCTAATAAGAGCAGTGGACATGTACTGAGCATGTGCAGAGTGCCAGACACTGTCCTAGGTCCTTTGCTGAGACCTCATTTGACCCTCCCAGGACACCTAGCATTGTTAGTGGCCATGGTGCTCTTCCATTATAGTCATGTTGCTGTTACATGGCTGTGGTGGCATTGCTGTCTCTCATGTCTCTGTCACTCAGAAGAATGACCCGCCTTGCCCAAGTGAGGAAGCAAAGGAACCAGGATTTGACTTGGCTCCAGACCCCGTGCTCTTGACTGTGGCCCTGGCTGGGACTCTGGTCTACAGTGGTGGGGGCTCCAAAGCCCATGGCAGACGTCGACCTGGGTCCACTGCCCTCGGCTGTGAGTCCCTGGGGTGGTGGTGGGGGGGACACGCCCTCCACCCCGTCTCCCGCCTATCACCTCCTTGGGCGTCCGGGCATAGTCCTTCATCCGCTCCACGGACACGATGCTGCTCTCCAGGTCTGTCCAGCTGCGAACCGCCCACTGCAGCGTCTGGGTCACCTGGTGCGAGAGACGACACCTCAGGCCAGTTTCAGCAACGCCCCCCTGCAGGCTTGCACCTGTCCCGCTGAGGCGGACCCCAGGGCAGACAAGAGGACTGGATGAGGCTGCAGCCACTAGGACCTTCTCTCCCTTCAGTGGGGTCAGAGTAGGCAGAACAGGAAAGAGCCTCAGAGATCAGTTGTCTAACCCGTCTTGATACAGGTGGGAGATGGGACCAGAGAGGGTGCATGGCCCGCCTAAGACACCCAGCAGGACCCAGGCCCGCTGACTTCCATCCTGACAGGCTCCCTCCTCTGCTTCCCCATCACCCTGGAAATCGTGCCACGCTCCTCCCCAGGGCCCACACTCCCTCCTGCTCAGGCCTCCCTCTTCCCCCAACACCTCTCTCCGGTCTCTCCTCAGCCCAGCTCTCCAGCAACTGCCGCTTGCTGTTCCTCTAACCCACCAGGCACACCCTGCCCCCGACCCCAAGGCCTTTCCTCCACCAGGAGTGCTCCCCCTCCCTCTCCCTCTCACCTTCCTGTCCAGCTCCTAAGCCCCCTCCTCAGGGAGGCCTCCCAGGGCCTGTGCAATGGAGTAACACACCCCCACCACCTCCAACTTCTTGCCTCTCTTCATCCTTAAACTTAGTTGCCTCAACTGTAAAATGGGGATAATAACAGTACCCCTGATGGAGCTGGGAGCAGGATTAAATGAGCTAATATTTATAACGTTCTTAGAACAATGCCTCATTCACAATGAATGCTACTTAGTATATACTTTTTTTTCTCTTTGCAGATGTCATGATCTGGCCTTAGATATTGCTATTAATAGTTAACAAAAGTTACCAATGCACCTGGACATATACTTTATATACTTTGTCTCAGTTAGGGAAGTGAGGGATACTGAGGCTCCGAGAGGGAGGACTTGCTTGAGGTCCAGCAAGGTCACCTCGGCTGAGCTCTTGCAAGAGCTGGACTCTCCTCACTGTTTGGGAGTTTGGACTCAGGGCCTCGAAGGTCCTGCCGGCAGGGGTGTGTCTGCCTCTGTTCTGCCTGTGCCCTGGAGCCCAGGCTGAGGTGTCGGGGGTACCTGGAGGGCGGTGGAGACGGAGAAGCCCACGAGGCCGGCGCTGAGATGGGCCTTGCGCAGCACAGCACACACGGCAGCCGAGAACACCAGCCCATTCCCCAGGAGCTCCAGGTTAGCAGCGAGCCACCTGCGAGGGGCGGGCGGAGGAGAGTGGGGTCAATGGGGGTCCTCTCTGCAGGCCCTGCTCCTCTGGGCACAAGGACCGGTCATGGTGCCAACTCGAGTGCCCACGGGGTCCTGGCCATGGTCTCGCCCACACCCCAGGCTGTGCCCAAGCTCAGTGGGTGGGGGAAGTGGATGCTGTTCTGTGTTGCCTGTGCCCCGCTCAGGGCCTGGCACACAGTAGGTGCTCTACCATGCTGCTGACGTCCTATGGCTGGATATGCCAAGCCCTGCCCCTTTGTGTGCCCCCTGCCGGAACCCAAGCTCCATCTTCACGTGACCAACATCCTATCTTCAGGCTCAAGTCGGCTCAAACGCCTCCTCAAGGAGCCTTCTCAGATTGCTCCTCCCTTTCTTTTCCATGTCACTGATAACGTCCTTCCTGAAAGCTATCAGTCTTCATAATTCAACTGTTTAATCAGTCCTTGACTAGTGGTCTCCATCAGTAGACGTGAGCTCTATGAGGACAGTGACTTTGACTTGCTCATGGCTCTGTCCCCAGTACCTAGCATAGGACACAGCCCAGAGGAGGTGCTCAACAAATGTATATTGAGTGGATGAATAAAGATGCACTCCATTTTACTGAATCCCTACCATTCATTCATTCATTCATTCATTCAGCAGGTATGTATTGAGCACCTACTGTATACCATACATATTGGAGGTACTAGAGACACGGCTGTGAGCCAAACAATAACACTCTTTAGGGGGCCCTGGGCTTTACTACATATAGCAGCTAGTCCTAACTACCCCACAAAGGGGGGTGTCGTTGCCCCCATTTGACAGATGAGGGCACTGAGGCTCAAGAGGGTTAGGTACCTGCTTGAGTCCAGACACACGACACCAGAATTTGAAGCTACATCTGCCTGACCAGTATCAAAAAGCATGCACCCTTTCCAAAGAATCGAATAACGACTGAACAAACAAACACCCACTCAGGGCCTCCCACATCCTAGACAGCTGACCTGGGGGAGTCCCTACACCTCTTTGAATCCCAGTTCAACCATCTATGGAATGAAATAACATTGACTCATCACAGTTGAGAGGTTCAAATGAAATATGCCATATATAGCATGGAAATCACTGCACCTTGCACATAGTAGGCGCTTTCTAACTTTTCGTAAGGTGCCACCTCCCTAGGCAAGGACTCAAGGACAGGGCAGGGCAGGCCACTCAGAGGCATGTGGAATTGAGACATTGCCCACAACAAGTGAGCCTGATAGGCCCAGCTGGGCAGAGATCTGGGCAGAAAGAAGAAAGGAATTCACATTTATTGAGTACCTACTGTGTGCTCAATCCTCTTCATACTCTGGCACCTCAAACCTTGACTCCACCCCATTTTCGCTGTGTGGCTCTGGGCAAGTTCCTAATTCTCTCTGTGCCTAAGATTCACTTTCTATAAAACAGTCTCTGCCTTGTGGGGTTGTTAACAGGATTAAATTAATCCAGGTAGAGTACTCGGAACTGTGCCGGGCACATAGTAAGCATCTTACAAGTATTAGCTACGAATCCTCATAGTCATTCCACGACTACAACCCCAGTTGACAAATGTCGCTCAAAGAGGATTCGTAACTTGCCCACGATCACCCGGCTAGTGAGCTGCAGAGCTGGGATTTGAAACCATGTCTGTCTATGCTCAAAGCCTGTGTTCTTGTTTTCACTTAGTACTGAAAACAAGGCAGTTTTGCTGACATCTGTACCTCCTGCCCACCTGCTGCTGGAGACCCCTCGAGCCCGGTTCCATCTGCTCGCAGTGCAAGCCAAGTGCACCCATGGGATCTAGTCTCAGCTCTATCCCGTTCTCTGCCGACCTCCCTACCTGTCAGCCACCAGCCGTGGGAAACTGACTCTCTGGCTTTCATCCACGTGAGTGTCGTTCTGAGCCACAAAGGAACCCTGGGCCCGGAAGGCCCTGACCACCGCACCGCCCTGAAATGCCTCCGCCACGTGGGAGCACACGAAGGCGTGCCTGGCTGACTCCAGGCGTCTGAGTTGGCATGAGGTGGCTACGTACAGGCTCTGAAACAGGACGGGGAGAGATGAGAGGTCACAGACACAGAGAGGGGTAGTTTGAGAAAAGGGAGCCCCAAGTACAGGGTCCCAGACGAGGCTCTGTTACCAGCTTGCTGCGTGACCTTCAGCCACTTGCTTCTCCTCTCTGGGCTCTAATTTCCTCGCAGAATCAGAGTTCCGTGGTTCTTTTTAAAATCAGCTGGGAAGGTTCAAACACCTCCAATGCCCCCTCCCCAGAACTGCTGAATCAGAATCTCTAGGGGTGTCACCTTGGCCTTGGTGTTTTTAAAGCGCCTTCCGGGCGATTCTACAGCCACGATTGGGAAACCACTAATCTAGTACAAATGTCGCTTTCCCAGCTCTAAGGCCAACTGCTTCACGCAGGGCCAGTCACCATGGGAGCAAAACTGTAAAGGGCAAGGATGGCTCTTGGCCAAGTCAAATTCATTTACTTCACTTGAGGGTTACGTGCCAAGCGCTGGGAACATTACGATGCACAGACCATATATGTTTGAGGTTGCAGCTGGCAGCTAGGGAGGAACGTGCATTTGCCGCAATACCCAGGCTGTGTGCCAGGCTCTTTACAAACAGTTTTCAGTAATTGCGAGGTGGGCATTAGTGGCGTTCAGTTTACAGGTGGGAACACCTGAGGCTCACGGGGATTAAGCAGCTGGTCCAAGCCTTTATAGCAAGTAAGAGGCCGAGCCTGGATCTGGACCCACCTCTGCCTGACTCCCAAGCTCTCAGAGAAGGCATCCTTCCCCCCAAGTCAAGAGGAGGTAGGGAACACCTGGGATAGTTTGGGAGCGCAGTGGTGGCCATAGTTTTTGTCTGACTGCCATGGTTTTATCTACTCCCAATTTCCTAGGGGCAGCTGTCAATCAGGGGGCCTGAGCGTTGAGGTGGTCATAGGACGTAGCCTAACCAGTCAGAGCAAACTTTTGCTTTGGATACAGTGATTAGCTCAGGGGAGAACCCATACCCCCCAAAGGGCCAATCAGAATCTTCCCTGGGATTGATAGACAAATGCTAAGCTGGAGAAAAGGTTTCTTTATGTTGGGGCTGCCCAAGTGGGCGCTGTGGGTATAGGGTTGCCAGGGGCCATCAGACCTGTCCCCAGGAAAGAGCGTGTGTGCAAAATTAGGCCAAGCAGAGCTCAAACATCAGCAGGCACCAGAATTACCTGGAGGGTTCGTTAAAACCCAGGTCTCTAAGCCCCACACCCACAGTGTCCGAGTCAGCAGGTCATGGGCGGGGCCTGAGAATGTGCATTTCTATCCAGCTCTCAGGGCGATCCCGATACTGCTGGCCCAGGACCACAGTTTGAGAACCACCGAGCGAAGAAACGAAAGAGAGAGACTACATCCTGGTGACAGCTGGCGGCTGCACCCTAGGAGCATAAGCCTTTAAGTTCTGTTCTCCTGTTTAAGCTAACTTAACTTGGTCTCTGGCTCTGGCGTTTGAAAGAGTTGTCTTTGAGACTTTGCAGTGCCTTCTGGGTGTCTGGATGCCCGGGGAGGAGGAAGCTGATTTCAAGCAACGGGACAAAACAGTAGAAGTTCAGGACGTCAGTGTGAACATTTGGGAGACACGGGTGAGTACGGGTGTTAGATTGCGGTGTCTCCGCCTCTGGAAATTCTTCTTGGGGCGGTTCCCGGATGCCCTGCTGGGCAGAACCTCCTCCACTGACTCCTGCCCAGAGACAGGGGGTTGGCTGAGGTGACCCCGGCAGGCCCCAGGAGCCTCCACGACCTCTCCCTACCTGAAGCACAGCATAGAGGAGCAGCAGCGGCAGGACGGCCACGACAGCCAGCGGGGTGGCCACCGTCACCACCAGGCTGACCTCCAGGAGTCCGAAGGCATAAATCAGCAAGGACCGGAGTTTGTCCGGGATGTCCACATCCACTGTGTCTGTCTCCTTGGAGAAGCGGCTCAGCAGGGCCCCGATGGGCGTCTGCTCAAAGAAACCAATGGGAGATCGCACCACGTCCCACAGGAGCCTCCGGAAAAGCAGGCTGGAGGCCCGGGTCCCTCCCAGGAGCACCGTGGCCATGGCGGCCAGCAGCCCGATGGCTGGGGAGAGAAACGGTGTCAGACAGGAGGCTGGAGCCCCACCCACCACCATCTGATCATTTGGCCACTCCGATCACCCCTTGAGAACCACTCTTGGGTGTGTGGAACAGTGCCCTCCGACCCCAGTTCACGTCCTCCGGGAACCTCGGAATGTGATCTTATTAGGAAAGATCTTATAGGATCTTTGCAGATGTTATTGGTGAAGATCTTGAGATAAAACCCTCCTGGATTTAGGAGGAGTTCTCAATCCAATGACACGCAGAAACAGAGGGAGAGGTGACGTGAAGACGGAGGCAGAGACCAGTGACCCACTGCGAGCCAAGGGCAGCCGGCCACCGGGGGACGCTAGGACAGGCATTGGACGGTGTCTCCTTCGGAGCCTCCGAAGGGAACCGCCTTGCTTTTGGACTTCTGGCTTCAGAATTATGAGAGAACACATCACTGCTGCTGGCAGCCTTAGGAAACTGACACCCCCACTGCCTCCCGATGCCAGTCTATGTGGTTAGCATGGGACGAACGTCGCTCCCCGTTTCTGGGGTGGGGTGAAATTCACCCCTTGGACCACTGCAAGTGGTTCCGGGATGAACATAGGACCCAAGTCAGGCCGATGAGCGTGAGACCTGGGACTTTGCTAGGACGTTTTGCTTTTTTTTTTTTTTTCGAGGTGGCCGAGCTGGAGCTGTGGGATGCCACCTTACCACGAGGAGGAGATGCCAGGCCCGGACAAGAAGCTATCACAGAGGGAGATAACAAAGCCATTTCCATAGCCTCATTTGGAGCCCTGGATCCAGCCATACCTGCAGCTAGTTATCTATAGATTCCAGTCCCATAATCCCATAAATTCTCTTGTTGCTTAAACTAGTTTGAGATACATAGTGATATGGTTAGTATATTATAGCTATGTAGTTAGTAGTTCTGTTAGTTTCAAATGGAGCAGACTTCAGAATAAGAAAAGTCATCAGGGATAAAGAGGAGCATTACATAACAGAAAAATGGGTCAATTCTCCAAGAAGACATAACAATCCTAAGGGGTTTGCGTATAACAGCAGGGCATGGAAATGCATGAGGCTCATCTGGAGCTGTGGGGGAGGGGCGCTGAACGTCCCCAGCGGTCAGGCCTTGGAGCTGCCCTCTGCGCTGGGGGACAGGCGGAGTCTAGCTGGACTGCCACGTCTGTGCGCTCTTAAGGGCCCAGCTGCCCCAAGGTTTGGCATTTGCCAATGAGTCTGGTGGAGACACGGAGCATCCCAGAAAAGGAGGCATGTGCCCTGTCCCCCACTCCTTCTGGCTCTGTCTTAAAGACACAGGTCCGTGCTTGCACCCAGGACGTTTCAGGGAGAACAGGGTAAACAGGGATGGGCGGGCCGGGGAGCCCCGAGCACCTGGGGTGGGGCTGAGAGGGTACAGGGGAAGAAAAGCCAGTGAGCGTTACCTTGCAGGCACCCCAGGAGCCCAAAGACCCAGCCTCGCAGGGCCGCCTGGGTCTGCCGCCCGTCCACGGTGGGGTCGTCCGCCCACAGGCTCAGCCAGTAGCCACGGCAGAAGGAGGCCACTTGCTGGCAGAAGAAGAGGAAAAGGGCGTAGAGGCAGAGCGGGGCACCCACGGCCCGGACGTAGGTCAGGTACATGGCGGCCTTGACCTGCAGCGGAGGGGAGGTAGGAGGAGAAAGGCCAGGGGAGGCTCCCGAAACATGCCAGCGGGGCAGACGGAACCACCACGCAGACCTCGCCGGTCCTCTCTCAGTGCCTCCCTCCTGGACACCCTCTCTCCACCTGGCGTCAGGACCCCCTGCCCCTCCAGGACCCCCAGAGGGCCAGTGGGAGCCTTCACGGTGACAGGCTGTGGCACTTTCTGGCTTCGAAGTGATTTATCGAACACCTATTACGGGACAGGCATGTGTCTCTATCCTCGTCTGAGAGATAAGGAAGCTGAGGCACAGAGGTTAAGCTACCTGTTCAGGTCCACCTCCTACGAATCTAAAGTTCTCCACGCAGCGGCAGCCAGAGTGAACTTCTGAAAAGATCGGCCTGACCCCATCTCGCTGTTGCTGACCTGCCCGTGGGTTTCTCTTGCTCTCGGAAGAAATTCGAAACTTCGCGTACACCTCCCTGACCTTAGCCCTACTCATCATCTGCCAGTATCACGGAATCTCTTTCTTTCCTCTGGCGCCCTAAGCTCCTTCCCGCCTCAGAGCCTTTATACCTACTGTTCCGTCTGCCCAGAATGCTCCTCCCCCAGCTCTTTCCATGGCTGGTTCCTTTGCATCCCTCAGGGCTCAGCTCGGATGTCACTCCTCAGAGCATCCTATCCAAGCAGGCCCATGACTGGTCCCATCTCATTGCCCTTCTCTGTTTTCTAATAGCATTTATCATTGTCTACTATTAACCTTGCTCGTTAGCCTAATTGTTTGTCTCCTCCCACTAACATGCGATGTCCACCAGGGCAGAGACTTTGCCTGGCACACAGTAGGGGCTCTGCAAATATTTCCTGGATGGATGAGTAGGTGGATGGTTGGGTGGGATGATGGGTGGTTGGGTGAATGGGTAAATGAATGGATGAAGAAATAAATGGGTCTGTAGGTTGGGTGGATAGATGAGTAGGTGGATGGATGGGTGGATGGATGGATGGATGGGTGGATGGATGGATGGGTGGATGGATAGATGGGTGGTAGATGGAAGATGGATGAGTGAATGGGTGGGTAGATAGATGGATGGATAGATAGGTAAATGGGTGGTTGGTTGGGTGAGATGGATAGATGAGCGAGTAGATGGGTAGGTGAGTGGATGGGTGAGTAGGCAAATGGGGTGGGTGGGTGAATGGGTAGGTGGATGAGTGGAGAAACCAGCAGAGCAGAAATAGTGCAAGTTCCACATTAGGACAGATCTAGATTTGAGTCTCAGGTTAGTCACTTGCTAGCTACGAGAGCACAGACAAGTCTCTCAGCTCTTTAAAACCTGCTTCTTCATTTCTAAAATGGAGCTGTCGCCATTAATTTTAGGGCATTTAAAGCACTGAGAGATAGAAAGTGTTTAGAATCTTCCCTGGTGCATAGTAGGTGTTCAGGGCAGATAAGCCCCCGCCCCCCACCGCCCCGTGCTGCCTCTGGTGAGCAGTTCTGGGCCCCCGGGGCCGCAGAAGCAGTGGATGGGGAGGGGAGGGAGCGGCTGGCGGGTACCCTGCCATACTGCATGCTGGCCTCTCCGGTGGGCCATCCTGCCCCCTCCGGATCATCTCGGAGAAGCCCTGTCTGGGTCTCTGCAGTGGCGCTGTCCTTCTCGGGGACTGCCTTCACGGACCTGTCATTTAGAGGAAATGAGGACAAATCAGTGTCTCTCTCCACGTGGTGTGTGTGCCCGACCTTCACGGCCACTGGTAGCTGCCGAGCTCTGATGCACATTCTCCGCTCCACTCATTCATTCATTCATTCATTCGTTCGTCCAGTTAACACACTGAGCACCTACTAGGTGTCGTGCCGTGTCCTCTCTCTGTGGGGCCCAGCTAAACGACATCCATTACCCCAGCGTCAAGCAAGCCTGCCCTTCCAATGCCGTTTCACTGAATGAACCTATTTGCCCAACTTTAGAACTTGGTTTTCAGAGTTTTCATTTTGGCTGAAGCTTTGCTACGATTGTTTTTTCCCCCTGCTGTTTACCCTCAGATTTGTCAGTCCAAGTTGGCAGAATGTCAGTTTTGCATGATCAGATGTTGAAGACTTCCTGTATGTTCCTTTCACGTGTGGATGTGTGAGCTGACTTAACCTTGCATGTGAATTGTCATCTGCTAACTGAAACCATGGGCAGCTGACTTAACCTCTCTGTGCCTCAGTTTCCTCAGCTGTAAAATGGGAATAATCCGTCATCTATGTATGTCTGTATGTATGTATTATCTATCTATCTATCATCTCTCTATCTCTCTATCTATCTATCTATCTTTCTTTCTTTCTTTCTTTCTTTCTTTCTTTCTTTCTTTCTTTCTTTCTTTCTTTCTTTCTATCTATCATCTATCATCTATCTATCATCCATCTATCTATCATCTATCTGTTTAATACATCTCTTATCCTTCTACCATCCATAAACCAATCTACCACCTATCTATCATTTATCAATCTATCAACTACCTATCTATATCATCTATACATTCATCCATCTACATCTATCTTTATCTATTTATCCATCTATACTCTGACAATGAATCAAACATCTACCAGTCCATCTACCTATCATGTACATATCTATACTTGAGAGCAAACTGGTCATTCTGTGAACTAGACATTTGGGGACTTAATCATTTTGGCCATTCGATTGTCAAACACATTTTTGGTGAATTAACCCGCTGAGCACCATGGTGGGCGTTCAACAGGTGTTCAGTGCAGAACAGTGTTGGCCGCCCACTCTCTGCCTGAGCTGCAGGTGGTGACATAGCAGCCCCTCTTCGGCCTCAGTCTGCACCCTTCCTGTGCTCAGGACCCCAGCGAACTCACCTCTCTGGTCCACCCATGGGCCTTCCGCCTCCAGAGGAGCCTCTGGCGTCCTCAGTGCTGGTCATGGGTTCTCTTTCTGCAAGGTAAGGGAGTCGTGTCACATGATAGGGATCTGGACCTCGGGGGCTTGATGCTGACTTTGACACCAACTGGCTGTCTGGCCTGAACTTGTCTGAGCATCTATTTCCTCTGATCTGGCTCCTGCAACCTCCTGCCATCCTCCCTGGGCTCTTCCAGGACCATTATCCATTCACTCATTCATTCCTTCATTTATTCACTCAGGAAATATAACGGGGCACCTCCTGTGAACTTGGGGTTGGAGAAGATCAGTAAACACATACAAAGTCAAACAGCTCCGGTACCTTCAACACCCTCGCCCAGGCATTTCTCTGTGGCTGGAATGCTGTTTTCCAACGAACTCTCCCCCAGCCTCAGGTGTCACCTCCCCCAGGAAGGACCCTGCCCCCAGAGCATCTCCCTAGGCCGGCTGGGTTCCATCTTCAAGCTCCAGGATGGTGATGCCATGTACCCCCTTAGGCAGACCAGTGCTCGGCCGGTGCATTCAGAGGAGGCAGAGCCTGGGGCTGGGGATGCCTGGTTGCGAGCCCCTGCTTCATCGTGGAGGGGCACTCCACGGCCTAGCGATGTGTACTGGGGACAAGCTGCTTGGGTTCACATCCCAGCACTGGCAAGTATAAGCCGTGTCACCTTGGGCCTTCCATCCTTATTCTGGGCCTCAGTCTCCTCATCTGGAAAGTGGAAGTATTGGAGTGCCGACCTCACAGGGCCACGGTGGTGAGTATAAAGGAGTTAACGTGGGAGAGGGGCACAGGTTGTTCTTTCTCACTCGCTCTGGGTGAGCTCGGGTCAGTGACTTCGCTTTCTCAGCGTGCACCGTGTTCTCTGGATCATTAGATGCCCTAGTAAGCACGGCCTTGGCCTTTGGGCCTCTGGCCACCGAGGGACCTTGCTCAGTCTCTGGAGCACTTATGAGCAGAGACTTGGGAGTTGAACCGACCCAAGTTCCAACGTCATGACTTCAGGCAAATTATTTAACTCTCTTTGCCCCAATTTGCTCATCTGTGAAATGGCAGCGATAACTTTATGTGCTTCCAAAGGGTCTTGTGAAGATCCGGTGAAGTAACGTATGTCCACAGAAGAACTTAGCAGAGCCCCTGGCTCATGAACGGTGCCGTGGCTCTTACCAGGGGGTTGGGTGGCCTCTCGGGACAGCTGTCTGCCTCGGGCCTGGGCCTGTAGGCTGAGTGTGGCCAGGGCCATCCACTCATGCCAGTGGCACCATTGGCAGGAACCAGGTACCGAAAAGCAGCAAAGCCCAGCCAGTACCTTCTTCTCCTCTTTGTCCCGGCTGCCTGGCTCGATCCAGGAGGCTCGCCAGGGCCCCCTTCCTGCGCAGGAGCTCCTGGTAGGAACCCGTCTCTGCGATGGCCCCGTCTTCCAGCACCACAATCCGATCGGCCTGGGGCAGGACGTGGAGCGTGTGAGTCACGAGAATCCGCGTCTGGGCAGGGAGGGAGTAGAAGTTACGCTCATGTGCCTGACTGCCTTCCAGAGCTGGGGGGTGGGGACAGGAAGTGCCTGGGGCTCACAGTGGGGAGACGGCCCCTTCATGTGCTCTTGCCCTTGTTCTTGAAAGCTGCACATCCTAGAGACATAGAGGGGCCCCTTCGGCCTGTGCCTTGAAACAAGAAGAGGCGGAGTTCACTTAAACCTGGCCAGTGACCTGAGTGAGGCAGAACAGTAGCACCTTAACCACAGAACCATAAGCAGAAAGTAACTGCTGTGGCAAGCCATTGAGAGTTGGGGATGTTTGTTATGTAGCGCGGACACAGCAAAAGCTGACTCTTGCAAAGAGGAAAACTGGGCTCGAGGTGGGTGGTGGTGGGACAGACTTGGGTTAGGACCTTCTCTGCCTTTGCCCTGCACCCTCTGGTACATTCTGCACTTACTGCTCCCTGGAGCAGCCCTCCAGGACCGATGACCTGGTTGAAGATGTGCTGGCCAACATGGGCGTCCAGGGCCGCCAGAGGGTCGTCCAGCAGGTACACGGCAGCCTTTCTGTACACAGCCCGGGCCAGGCTCAGCCGCTGCTTCTGGCCCCCAGAGAGATTCATGCCCTGTGGCCACAAAAGAGTGACAGGGCCCTGAGTCTACACTGCTGGGTGAAGCCGGTGTGACGGGGCCACATCTGCTCATCAGAGTGAGGTGCAGCTGGCTGTGCCTGTCCCCCAGGGCCACCTCCCAGCTTGAAACACCTGCTCTTAAGCCAACGTCCCCCACCCCCAGGGCTCCACCCAGCCTCGCTTCTCCCCGTTCTAGCCAAGCGAGCGTCCTGGAGGAGTCGTCTGCACCCTCCACGGCTTCCTCTCCCCCACTCACTTCTCCCTCTCCTCAAGTCTGGCTTCTGTTCCCATTTCTCCACTGATGCTGCCTTCCTCAAGGACACCAGCCATCGTTTCTCTGTTGCCTAAGGCAGCTTTTTGGTCCTTATATTCATTCACTCACTCACTTACTCATTCATTCATTCTTCCACTCAAATTTACTGCATGGCTACTTTGAACCCAGTGGCGTTCTAGGCTCTGGGGACACAGCAATGAACAAAACCCAGTCCTTGCTCTCATGGATCGTTCATGCTAATGAGGGTGGGAGTGGGAGACAGATAATCAATAAGCAAACAAGTAAAATATATCACCTATCGATGGTGTTATGTGCTAGGAAGAATAATAAGTCGGGGGAAATATGTCGGGGGTGCTACGTGAGCAGGGGTGCTGTGGGGAGGGAAGGCCTCTCCAGCAAGGGGACCTCTGAGTCGAGACCTGATGGGAGTGAGGGATGGACCTCATGTGGACCCCTGGGAAAGAGCTTTACAAGCAGAAGGAACGTCAGGTGCAAAGGCCCTGAGGCGAGCGTGTGCTTCGGGTGTTTGAGGAACCACGGAGAGCCATGTGGCAGAAACAGAGAGACATGGGTGATGAGGTCAGAGCGATAACGGGGGTCAGGTCACGGGGGGCCTCGTCGGTGATGGGCAGGACTTAGCTGTGACTCGGAGGGAGTGGGGACCCTTTCCTGGAGGGTTCCCAGCAGAGAAAGGACGTGATCTGACCTACGTCTGGACAGACTCCCGTTAGCTACCGCACTGGGGTCAGCCCGTCAGGGTTGAGGACAGAAGGAAGGAGGGCCACCAGGGGTTGCCGTAGCAACACGGCCACGCGTTGATGGTGGAGGGAGGGCACCAGAACATTCTGGGTCTGCCTTGAGGGTGGACCCACCGGGATTTGTAGATGGATTAGATGTGGGTGTAAGAAAAAGAGAGGAATCAGGGGTGACACCCAAGTTTGGGATCTGAGCCGTGGAAGGGCGGAGCTTCCGTCGGCTGGGGTGGGCGTGCTGTGCGTGGAGGGAGGGGAGATTCTGGGGGAGCACTTGTCTGGTTTAGGGTGTGACACGCTGGACAGACCTAGCGGGCAGCAGGCACCCCCTGCTTCTGAAACACCCTTCGCTCGGCCTCCACGCCGCCACGTCCTCCCCCGGAATGCTCCTCTAAGGCGGGGTTTCCTCCAGACCCTACCAGGGATCCTCTCACCTTCTCTCCAGGAAACCTCATCCATTTCCTTGACTGCTCTTTTCCACACTCAATTCCCTAATCCAGGGGTCAGCAACCTTTTCTGTAGAGAGCCTGACAGTAATGACTTTAAGCTTTGCTGGGGAAGCCCGTGCAAAGGTAGCCATGGATGGCTCACGGGGAAATAAATGGACGTGACTGTGTCCCAATAATACTTTATTTACAAAAACAAATGGTGGGCCGAATCTGACCCATGGGTCATTTTTGCCAATCCGTAGCTCCAGATGCATCTCCCCTTTTATTGGACACCTCTGCCCGGAGCTTTCAGTGAGGGGAAGCAATCTGACCAATGTCATCCAAAAAGGCAGGGCAGGACAGGTGCCCAGGTCCCCTCACTTCCGGTTGTAGAGCCCATCACCGCCAATCCCTGCCACGTCTCTCTGCATCTCCCTGGTCTCTGTTTTCAATCATTCACTCATTAATAACTATTTATTGAGTGCCTGCTATATGCTTGGCCCTAAGCCGGGCCTTTTTCTCCCTAACTTCCCTGCCCTATCTCCCCTTTGTTCCTCCCACCACACTGCCCACAGCTCAGGAAAGCACACGGCCCCAGCCACCATGGCTCCCTGTCCTGAGAAGGCCCAAGACCCTCACCTGCTCCCCAGTTTGGGTGTGGACTCCTGCAGGGAAGCTGCCTACGTCCGGCCACAGGGCACATGCCTCCAGCACCCTCTCCAGCCACGGCAAGTCCAGCTCCTGCCTGAAGCAAATGTTCTCCACCACGGACATGTTCTGGACCCAGGCCTCCTGGGGCACGTAAGCCACGGGACCCTAAAACACAGCTCGCTTTGGCGATGAGGAGGCTGATGGGGATGGAGGAGGAGTGGGCGGGGCTCGGGGCAGTGGAGGTGGAGAGAGTGAATGCAGAAAAGCTGGGCTGGGAGGGGGGAGCGGGGAAGGCTCTAGGATGGGGGACAGTCTAGCGGATGAGCAGGGACCGCGGCCTCACCTTGATGCTCACGGACCCCTCCACCTTTGACAGCTCCCCGAGGAGAGCAGAGAGCAGAGAGGACTTCCCTGCCCCCACCGGACCAACGACAGCCAGCAGACAGCCCTGTGGCACGGCAAGGTTTATCCTGGCAACACAGACGGGGGGACCCATTCCTGGGGCGGGCCCTGCTTGAAACTGCGCAGACTTGGTGAATCCCAGACACAGCCAGCTTTGCCCGCTGGCGACTCACCCAGGAGGTCACTAAGAGGATCTGCAGGGTAGTCTTTCCTTCTCCCCACCCTTGTCTGGCTAGGCAAGCAGCCGTCCTGTCCCACACACGTGCATGGGAACACACACGTGCATGCACAGACCCACACACATACATACATGTGCGCACACACACACCACCACGCTTCACGCACATATGCATACATGCACACACGTGCACACACAACATTCACACACAAATGCATGCACACATACACAAACATGTTCTCACACACGCACGCACGTGCACAAACACATGCACGCACACGGGGACACACATGCATACAGAGTTTACTGTAGCAGGCGGGTTTAACCAGCGCGTACATACATGTGCGCACGCACACAACACCACGTGTCATGCACATATGCATACATGCACACGTGTGCACACACAACATTCACATACACAAACATGTTCTCACACACGCACACACGTGCACAAACACGTGCACGCACACGGGGACACACATGCACACAGAGTTTACTGTAGCAGGCGGGTTTAACCAGCGTCACCTCTCACCCAGCAATGGGCTCCTCATTGCTCCCCCTGCTTCTGCCCTTGGCGCCTGGCCCTGCCCGCGTTTCACAGTCCATCCTCCGCCCAGGGGCCGAGCAACCTATCAGAACCTGAGTCTATCATGACACTCTCCTGCTGGAGTCTTCTGGAGGTTCCCATTTCACTCGGGATAAAAGGCTCCTGCTGCCTTGTCCTTCAGCCACACTGACTGCCTGTTTCTCAAACACAGCTGGGGTCATTGTGCTCCCCAGGGGCCATGTGGCAATGTCTAGAGATATTTTTGGCTATCGCAACTGGTGGGGGTTGCTGCTAGAATCGAGTGGGTAGATACTGGGGGTCCTGCTAAACAGCCGTTGATACACAGGACGGCCCCTGCGACAAAGTTATCCAGCCTCAAATGTCAACGGTGCTCAGGTGGAGAATCCTGGGCCTCGGCATACTCCCAGCCCAGACCCTTTGCTTCTGCTGTTCCCACTGCCTAGAAAGCTCTTCTCCTGGGCATTTGTAGGGCTCGGTATTTCACTTCATTGTGACCTCAGTTTAAATGTCAAGCTTCCTCTCACTACGCATGCCCCTTCAGCAGTATCACACTCTGTCCCCGTACCCTGATTCCTCATTCGTGTGTCCCCCCTCCCACCAGCCTGTTAGCCTCAGGAGTGTAGGACCCTGGTCTGTCTTCTTCACTCTATCCCCTGGCACCTGGCAAGTGCTCAATAAATACTACGAAGTGAGCGAGTGACAATCCACACAGGTACGGCCCAGGGCATTGTAGTTCCCTTCCTAGGGAGTCTGGGGGTTGGCTGGGGTTTTCTGCTACAAAGACCCAGCCAAAGAGTGAGGGGCCGAGGTGACAATGCGCTAGGGACTGACACGGTGGGGAGAGATGTGGGCATGGCCGATGACGCGTGGCTTTGAGGCTCTTCTCGTCCAGGCCTCCCTTGTGTCATGTCGGCCGGCTTGAGAGCACAGAGGTGTCTCCTCCCTGACGGGGAGGCTCAGGTGCCTCATTCCCATCTGTGGGAGCCCCTGCTGTCCAAGACTCTCGCCACCAGGGCCGGTCCTGGGAGTCCCCCCTGTGGAACATGAGCTCGGGCTCACCCACCCTCCAGCCCCAGGTGGGAAACCCACACCGTCGCTCACGGGAAGTGACAAGAGCCTCTTGCGTTTTCTCCCTGTTGGTCGGAAGGGAGCGAGTTACCACTGAAGCCCTTCTGTACCTGTGCAGGCAGGGCGGGCTCTCCCGGGACCAAGCGAAGGTGGCTTCTTGTACACGGATGCGGTCCTCCCTGGAGGCTGCAAGGCATAAAAGGCCAGTTACATGACATGCTCCCAGCTGACCTCGTCCCAGAGGCAGCAGGAAATCTCTCCCACTGGACTCACTGTCCTGCTTGCCTGTGACTCTGGAGTGGTCACGTTCTCTCCCCGTGGGATGATTATACACTTCAGGGGCCAGATCCTACCTGCCGACTATTTCAATAAAGTTTTATTGGAACACGAGCACATGCCTTTATGTTTTTTAATGGCAGAGGTGAGCAGTCGAGACACAGACTGAATGGCCTGTAAAGCCTAAACTGTGCACGCTCTGGTCCTTTTCAGAAAAGTTAGTGGGCTTCTGATATGATTTATCATCCTGCAGAGTGTCATTAATTTCAGTGGGACAGCAAGTGTGAGCAGGGACACTGGTCTGTCTCCCTATGTCCCTAGGTCTCAGATATATATTTTAATACAAAGTCCTAACACCCCCAAATCAGGATCTTTGAGGGGGTGAGGCCTGAGCACCTTACATCTAATGATCAGATGACACCCGCTAACACCCACCGGACTGGGTGGTCTCTGGGAGCGGGCTGCAGATGAAAAGCAGGTTGCCCACTTAAGTTCGAATTTCAGATAAACGAGTACGTTTTTTTAGTGTTAAGTATATCCCACACATGGCATGGGATATACTTATACTCAAAAGATTCTTCTCTGTAAACCTGAAATTCCACTTGAATTGGGAGTGCTGTGCTTTTATTTGTGAGTCTGGCTCCCCTACTCTGGCAGCTGGTCCCTTCCTAATGGTCTAAGGCGTGGGGACCCTCCTCCGCTTCCCCATCTACAAAGTGGGGGATGGGGTGGAGAGAGATGAGCTCATCATTGCACAGAGCACTTTGAACTGTAGTGGCACGAGGTTAATACAAACACATTGGCTCTCGATGTTTGTGTTAACCTCGCTGTTGTACGCCTTTGCGTGAAGAGCAGGCAGGTGACCAGGCGTGTCAAGCTCGTGGCTCGAAGAAGACCCAGGGGTCTCTGGGACAGGGTCCGCGGTGCTGTAAAGATTGTCGTGCCCACTTTGCAGACAGGGACACTGAGGCTCGGAGGTTGATTCTGGCTGGGGGACTCCGACAGCACAGGCTATGCTTTTAGCCGCCATGCCGGCGTTTTCTCGGTAAGCAGGTTGACGATGCCTCAGTCACAAGAAGGGGAGGGGTTCAACCCCGTGATGGGTCCTCTTCCCCCGACTGCAGTTCAGTTAGTGTCACTAGACCCACAGGTGTAGGGTTCGGGATGGGCGGGACAGAGGGAGGCCCAGCTAACTCGAGCTGGGTGAGTCTCACCATACAATGGTGCTCGTAACTCTCCGATTTTATTTTCTAGTTTGACAAACACATTGCCATGCTCATCTGTCTGGACCTTCGGCACGAGGGCAAGAACCTGGTCTGTTAGAGTGGTCACTGCTGTACAGAGTGACCAGTGGCACGCACGAGGTACCCGTGAACAGCCACCAGATGACTGGCAGGAAGCAGCATCACGGTGCCTGTTCCCATGTCGTGTGGCCGATGCTGTGGTCTGCAGGTGCCATCCTGCTGCCGGCAGCCCCCCCGGCTGGGACCCTGGCATCCTGCCCACCCCCTCCTCCCTTCCACACCCCTCCTG